TGTGGCTACATTGTGAGGCGGACGTTTAACCTTTGTGCATACGTGTTGAACTACAATGTGTAAATGTAGCATATTTACATCGGGGGAATTGTGTCACCCTGTGTCTACGTCTAATAATGTAAACACATCGTAAATGTGATTTGATGTGCTGTATGGGGTCATACTTAAGAGACTGACAATACAGATTATGTAGGTCAAAATTAATACTGTTCAAGGCTTGGTTGAAATTGTCTCTGGAAAATGAACCATACATCTGTGTGTCATCCGCATATGCATGAGTTTGCGAGTATCGAACAACATCTGCAATGCGAGATGTATAGATAGAAAACATTAGTGGGCCAAGGATAGAACCCTGAGGTACACCACGATTCAGTTCGATACACCCAGATATATCTGCACCCACCCTCACCATTTGCTTTCGATCAGTAAAATAGCTAGCAATCAATTTCGACGCATCACTCGAAAAGCCATAATAACGAAGAACAGTCATCAATACATCATAATTTAAGCAATCAAAAGCTTTACTGTAGTCTAGCAAAACAAGAACTGTAACATTTCCCTTATCCAATGCCGTCAGAATATCATCAGGTACCCTCAATAAGGCAGTGGCACAACTGTGCCCATCTCGAAACCCCGATTGATGAGTTGCTAAAATGTTATTATGTTTTATATATATTTTCATTTGATTACTTAACACATGTTCTAAGATCTTTGACATGGTAGGCAATATGCTAATTGGGCGCAAGTCTCTAAATTCTTTAATAATAATATTTAATATTAATATAGGCGTATTTTATATAATATTTATAATTTTTTTATAGATCTAATTAATGTTAAGGTATATTGGGCAGATTTTGACAAATTCTGATGTTAAGAAATTGTCAATATTAATAATACCGTATGATCAAATAAAAACGGCGTTATCGATCATTTTATATGTAAAATTATATGAGAAATGTCATCGAGGTAATCTGCATATGGCTTTTCTGTCGACTTTAAATACCTATATAATTTGCAACGCTCTGTTGGTAGACCTCTATATATTTTCCGCCCATAATTTTGACGAGTGTTCTACTTACTATTTTGACTATCGCTTTAAGAGATTGTTGGCCAGACACTCTTTTGTGGTAATTTCTGTAATTAATTAGCTTAGAAGCACCGCAGAATGACAATAGATCTACGAGTAATATTGATCAGCTTTGTTTGGATATTATATCTGCCTTTTCATAGCCCTTGTGATTTTAATGCCCACCAGGGGGTAATAAACTAGACTAACGTAACTTTGCTAGAATGTAGAATAAGTGAAAGAGGGTTAATCGCCGCGACCCTACATATCTGCTTTATCCCCCTTTCCTCAGTTATTATTCATAATACAGTCCCAGGGCCCTAACAAAAGCCAGTATCTGAGACGGTTTTACAGAAGGTAGTTCTTCAGCTCCGACATCATTCATACCAAAGTTCGCCACAGAAACGGCGAATGCAGACTCTGTGGGGAAGATGGTGAAACACCAGTACACCTCATCACTGAGTGCGCCGAGACGACAACCATTCGTGCCATGAATTTTGGTACGACTGATATTGGAGATGGAGAACTACCCTCTATAAAACCGTCCCAGATACTGGCTTTTGTCAAAGCCCTGGGACTGTATGATGAGTTATGATTCAAGAAAGGGGGACACAATGGATCTGTAAGGTCGAAGTGATTAACCCCCCTCCCACTCATTCTAAATTCTAAAAAATACCAAAGTTTATGGCACGAATGATCGTCGTCTCGGCGCACTCAGTGACGAATGATGAGGGGTGTTTTTCCTTAGATTCAATCTAATGAGGTGTTCATTGAGGAGACAGTGTCCTGTTAAAAACCCTGTGACAATCCGGAGATAGTTCTTAATTAAATCAAGGAAAATTCTTGATCTTTCTCGGTTGTAGGTCCTGAGAAATTTCTTTTAACTTTGCTGTGCTGATAAATTTAAATATATTTTTTTAGTCAGGCACTTAATTTTATAGATATGTAAGAAATTTAAATATTACTAGTACTTTTTTTGTTTATTTTACTATCACTAAATTTCTTATCTATAATGATATATCACGTAATACCAAAAATTGCGATATTTAGAAAAAAATCATGGGCATGGAAGTTAAGTTGAAAAGCATGAGAAAATTTACTGAAAATTATAGATAATTTCCATTACACGAATTGTATACTTTATCAGAAATTTCCTGAATCAGTATGATTAGCATAAATCGATTTTGTCAGAAATATACGTCACATTTTTTTAAACCTTTATGGAATATTGATGATTTAATGTTACTTTTTAATTTCTACGGAATTTAGAAGCGTAATTAATTTCCTTTAAACATAAAAACTTTTAGAGTCTGAAATTCAAATTTGACAGTTTAATAATAACTGACTAAAGTGAATGTTATTCGTAGAGTAGCATTTGCATTGTATTGTTAAAAATAAAGGCAGTATTAGCTTTAAGCTTCATTCAGAACCACGCAGTTGGTGGAATTAATTATTGGTTTCAATTACACTTTATAGTTTTTAGTTTACGATCATTCACATTGTCTAAAAAATATAATTAAAATTAATAGAATATCCGAGCAACAGCTTGCGGTACTCAGTTATATACATAGAGAAAGTTTAATATTTGGCTTATAAAGCTGTACGCACACTGGTGCGATCAAGGCCGCGATCACGATCTCCACGCGGCCGCGGCCAAAAGTTGCTGAAGGATATAGGTATATGAGCCGTTTCACATTGGCGCGATCGAGTTTTAGAGACGAAGCGGCCTGGCGACGTTCTATTCTGCGGTGGCGATCAGATTCAACTTGTCGCGTGATCGCGTGATCGCGACCCAACTGACAGGAATTTTCCGTTATTTTGTGTGTTTTTTCTTGTTGCAATTTAGAAATGGAGTTACAGAGCAGCTAATTAAAGCTGTAAAAATACACAAAATTCTATATATGATTTATCCGATCCAAGTTATAAAAATAATAGAATTAAAAATAAAAAGTTGGAGACAAAATTGGAGTTGCAATTGGATTGGATAATACATATGTCTATATTTTTATTGTTTAAGTTTAAATATTGTAGGTAAACATTTAAGAATGTTTTTTTTTCGGTATATATAATTCACATTTTTAATTTGTACCTATGTATACCTACAGGATAGCTCACTACATATAGGTACGGCGGTGAACTTAAACGCGTTGGTGTGTGCCAGAATGATACCTCATGTTATCGCTTCCCTGATCGTGACCGTGGTCGCTTAAAACAATAAACTTTTGATATCTAACCACATTTTCTCTTGACGGATTATAATCAAACGCCAAAATGACCCTTTTGGCAAATTTTGAAGTATAATTAGTGAAACAGTTAAGAGCTTGTTAACTTTTTCCATTCATTGAAAATCCCTACCACTAATTTTGATGTTCTGAATGGTTGCATTCAAAATAGAGGAACAAACTTCTACTAATTGAATCCACTAATTGATTCCACTAATTGCGAGGTTCTGAATGAAGCTTTATTTTAAAACAATATCCATTAATTACGGCGAGAGCTTACTTGCATGATGTTCATTTATTTGCACTCATGTGTCTGGTTGCTGTATTGTGTTCTACCAGCTCCATATTTGATGTCGTAACTCCACCTTTGATTAATGTGTGTCTTCTTGGTTTTCTTAAGCCTCTTGAGTACTACTAGGTAATTTTGATGTCCCATCTTTCTTAATTCTTCTTGCTAAGTGCCCTGTCGTTTGGCTTTTGAGAGATTTGTTTGTGTAGAACACCGTCTGCTCTCTAGATTTTCAGTCTAATCGACTATGTTCCATTGTTGTCTCGTTTCGTTGTTCAAAGCATACCTCGTTCCATGGACTATTATATTATTTAGAGTTTCCTTATAGTATATTTTTTTACTAAGTTAGCGATTAGGATAGATAGATTAGGATAGATTATCTGAAAATCTTAGATGGTTTGCATATTTGCCAAATGTATATCTTTCTTGCACCAATCTTATTTACTGAAGATGTTTCTTTAAAAAATAATTTTGGAAAATTGGATCTCCTTGTTCGACTTTTTACTTGTGAGGAATACCGAAAATCCGTTAGGTATATATTGTTACTATTGCTCTATTTTTTATATGTTGATTAGGATTTCTATAAACACTTTATTGACAGTTTGGTAGGTAAGGGCTTATAAAGTAAATGCACTAAAGTACTTAGTGAGCTGAGTATTTTCTTTTGAAATTAATAGTTTAGTGCTAGCTGTAGATCGTATTCCTTCTTTCGTCTGAACACTTTCTTCCCGCTTAAGAGATATTACTTATACCAACGAAATTATTTAAACACTATTTTATTAATGCTTTCAATAAAATAAAAAATATGTATATAAAAATATACACTCTAAGATATTCACCTAAATAAAAATGGGGCATGCTATAAAAATTAAATTTTGGTTTCTATTCGAAATTTCATCAAAGTTCAGTAAAATATGTAATTTTCTAATATGGTATTAGGAAATATTTAATAACCCATGATTGCTACAAATACTTCAGAGAATCATTATTCTTTGATGTCTATAACTATTATAACTATTATTTAGTGTAGATAATCGAAAAGTATATCACAATCTTTAGAAAGCCGACCAAAATTTATTACACATTCCAATTACAAAATATATTGATTTCAACATTATAAATGTACCTGATCTGAATATCAACATATAATATATATAGGTAGTTTCAAATAATTTGGCAATTAGCAAAATTTTTTGAAATTTTTAGATTTGGCAAAATATGATTTATAATAAAATATTTAAATTTTAGCTGATTTCAAAATATAAAAAGCAATGAAATCACGACCTTTGCAACGATTTTGCTGTTATTTATTAATCAATATTCCATATTTAACGATAATATTGTATTGTTTACAATTACACTTTTTTCCCATAAAAATTTATTTGTATGGATTATCTATTTATATGAATTTTTGTTTCTCCAGATTCACATTTTACTGCAGAAGCACTACAAGGACAAAAGACTTATATTATCACAGCACCAGATGAAGAAGCATCTCAACAGAAATTATGTCTCAGTCCAGGATGTGTACACACAGCATCCAAGTAAGGAATATTAATATCTATATTAAGTTAAAGGGGTGAACATGTTAAGTGGAAAGCATCCTTCAAATCCTTCAATTTAATAGCTGTGTGTAAATATGAATGTTTCACTTCAAATTTGCGCACATAGTGCACACACAAGTTTTTTGTAATATCTCTACTATACCAGATGCGTTTCAAAAGTAGCTCACCTCCTATAACTTTTTTATTTTTTCAGATTAAAAAACGAGATTTGGTATTTAAGTATATGACATAAATTAGGATTGATTGATGTATTCAATTGTTTTTGATCACTTCCTGTTTCACCGGAAATGACTACAACTTTTAATTTTTAAATGGCACCCTCGGTATTTTTTTACTTTATTCCATAGAAAATAGCATTCTAAATAGAATGACATATCATATGTAAACTTTTGATAATCTCGCTTAATAAAAAATCGTATTTTGAAATTCATTCTAGAGTGCCATGGCCAGTGCCGCTTTATCCATTAGGCAAGATAGGCAGTTGCCTAGGGCGGCAAGCTAATAGGGAGCGGCATTTTTTTAAATAACAAATTTTACTTGAATTTTTATTAGTTGAAGGGGGTGACAAAATAAATGGTACCTGGGGTACTAAATCACCTTAAAGGTTGATTCTCATTATACCTTCCATATCAGCTCCCTTCCGTTTATATAAAATATTATATCATGTAAATGAATAGAACAATGCACACTATCCGTTCCGTTTCCCTTCCGTTCCATATCCTTTCCTTCCATACATTTTTTTGGCGGATGGACTGAAACGTATCGGAAACAGTGTTGTCAAGTTCTTACATTTGTACCAGCTCTGTTAAAATTTTGCTGATATTTATTTATTCTTTCACCTCTTAATTAGATCTATTACCTTTTTCAAAAGATACAATTTTTTAAAATAAAAAGAAACTTTCGTAATGATATAAATTGTACAATAAAAAGTATGGAACTGATACGGAACGGAAGCTTACGTATAGCGTCAATACAATAAAAATACGGAACGAATATGGAAAGGATATGGAATGGAAACGGAAGGTATAGTGATAATCAACCTTAACGCGGCTCTGGCCATGGCTATGTTAAAAACACTAATTCTTAATCAAGGAGCCTTGGAAAAATAGATTTGATCGTCTAATGGTGCGTTTCGACTTGAGCACGCACGAGCTGAGCGTGCGCGCACGGCTTTCGTTCGCGCTCTGGGCTCCGTTCAAATTAAAAACTTATTTTTCGACGAATGAAGTGATCCATTTGTGCGCACACAGCAGAGTTGTGTTGGCGAAAATAATGGACGACCAAGAAATAGTCGAGGCTGCAGTCATTTTTATGCACTTTTTAATTTTAAAAAGAAGAAAAATCGAAAACATCGTCGCTGTTTGCCACCAGCAAACCAAATTTTTTTAAAAATCGATATAATTTACTGCAACAACTTAGGGCCTGAGGAGGGCTATGGTCAGTTCAAAAACTTTACAAGAATGACCAGGCCCGACTTTGAATATTTACAAAATTTAATAACACCAAAAATTACGAACAAAAGATACAAATTTTAGAATAGCAATTTCATTAATATCGACATATTTAATATTAATTTTATTTACAAGGTTTTGCCATGCGTTATATTTTTTTGATTTTTTAATAATACAAAGAATGTTTAACATCCCATAAAATAGGCAACTTTTCATATTTTTCAATTAATAATAACGAAGATTCATTGATCCACTCCATAATTTTAATAACGAAAACGAAAAAATCACACACGCACGCACGAACGCAGACAAAACAAATTGCCGGTGCAAATTGAGCGTTCGCGCAAACATAAAATCCCTTTGAGCACGGACCAAAAACCGACACCAGACGGCTTACGTTCACGGCTGCTCGCGCACAGACAGATTCAGAGTGAGCGTGCGCGCACAGCCGTTTACACTTGGGCATTCGCGGAGGATCAGTGCGTGCGTGCTCAAGTCTAAACGCACCATAATATTTTTAGTGTCTTGTCCTGACCAGTTAGAAAATGCTCAAGTTGTATTTTTAATCATATCTCATTTTTTTAAAATGAAACGAGGGTGGTTGCCGGTCATTAGCATATTTGGAAAAAGCATTTTTTACGAATAATTTGATACACATTTGGTATTTCAAGTCAAATTTTCGTTCCGAACCGCAAGTTATAATAATTTCAAATAAACCATATGCGAAAATATCTAAAGTTGACATATAATATGTCATTCTATTCAGAGTGTTATTTTCTATCGAATAAAGTAAAAAATTTTGTCATAGCCATATATTGATGGTCCGATTTAAAAATCAAAAGTTATAATAATTTCCGGTGAAACAGGAAGTGACCGAGAACAATTGAGCGTCCGGATTGCAAAACGACCTTAGCGCATGGCGTCGGGCAGCCCAGTAGCACAGCCAGTAGGCAAGCGAGATAGCGACGCGCCGATTTAACAAAATAAATAATTTTACACCTGCCGTCATTTCGTTAATAATTATCGAATTATGTTGATTTTTGCATAGAAATACTCATGAGTCTTTAGCGCTTCCGAAAAGCCTAAACAACTGGATTATTTTTTATGTTTTCGATTTGTTTACATTGCCCGAGCATATTATAACTTTGAGATAAAAATCTCTGTTATAAATCTTAAAACTTACAGATATGAATATAGTCTGTCCAACGAGAAGATCCTTGACAGTGATAGATGTGTCCGTCATTTTAATTTCAAAATAGTTTATTTCATTTTACAAAGAAATAGGTTGGTACAACTGGAACGTATACAGGAAATTAATATATGTATTTAAAATTTGACTGACAAGTAACTTCAAAATATTGTGAAAAAAACTGTATAAAACTGAAAAAATGTAATCGAGTTATTTTATTTAATAAAAAACGGTATGTGTTAATACAAAACAAACAAAAACAAGACACCATATACCAAAAAATATAAAAAAGAACTATTTCTTACTTTCAAGCTTTATGAAACTTCCCGCATTTATGATTATATTTATCAATATAACTTCTGTACAAATACAAATTTGTAATATTCCGAAGAAATAAATAGATAAAACAACATAAATAAAACAAATTATTTTATTAATAATAACACTTACCAAATTTTATACCTCACAGGTTGATTAATTAACTTTAATCTTAATTTTTTTAAACCAGTACTAAAATCCATTATTAACCTATTGTGTGATGTCGATATTTTATAGCTACTCCAGATTTTAGTATGTGTTTATTATGGTCCTTCTACCATACTTGAGATGCACTTATCTACGACGAGATGGTATACGAACTTTATTGATAGTAACTTTATTGGTGTATCTCTATAGGACTTTCTGCCTGGGCAGCGGGTATTAACCATAAACTGTGCTCTGGGTTCTACAGTTAATTTTCACTCGATTTTTCCTCCACTTGACTTCAAAAGACACAAAACGCACGTAATAACACGAATCAAAATGCATAATCTTCCAAAACGCAGGGTATTTGACAAAAGTTGTCATAAAATTATAACCTATAATTTGGCAAGACTTTGACAAACGTCAAAAATCTAAAGGCGAGTTCATACGCATCGGCGTCCGTTTGTCGTTCATCGTTCCGTCAAACCAATATTTTGAAATAGGATCTGTCATTTTTGAAATAAACCAATAAAACTGGTTAAAAACAACAAGTGACGACGCATGAGGAATTTATATTTAAACCGATCCATAGTTAACTTAAAAATTATTAGAAACTTTTTTTAGTAAAATAAATAGATTGGTATGGGACGTCATCTGCTTTTCTCCTGTCATCGTCTGTGGAAATCTTACCTGAGAAAAAAAACAGAGTATACTATCATTTAATTAGATATACATTTAGTTACAACATATTCAAAATTTAGGTCTATCGGTTTATGCTAGCAGTAATAACGAGTATAAATAAAAAAATGGTCAGTACAACGCTCGCCGTTTTTAGCGCACGTTCAGCTTTGGTTTTAGTTTTAGCGCTATTTTTACAGAAAATAAATTCTGAACTTTGATCAAATGACAAGGACATTATCATTGCCGATATATCCTGGTTATAATGTAGTTCTTTTTTCAAAAGATTGCATTGTTTTAGCTTAAAAAAAATTGAATTATGAGGCTTTTTTGCGAGAGCTACCGGCGCGGCGCTGCGTTAATAAAGAGTCTATATACTATATTAGACTATATACGTCAATCGAAAGACAATATTTGCGATAGTCTTTTGTTTACACGGAGTATAGAAAATTTTTGCAACAGCTTGTTTACTACCGAGTAGTATTTGTGCGTTTTTTTAAATTATTTATTATTAATAGAGGAAAATACGACCGAAAAGAAAGCTCAAAAGTTAAAAATCTGGATAAGTGTAATATTTCCAAAAAATCTCGTGACGAGGTAAAATTACAGTCTATGGTGGCTATGATTGACGTACATAGCCATCTCTTTATTAACGCAGCTCAGGTAGGGTAGCTCTCGCAAAAAAGCCGCATAATTCAAGTTTTTTAAAGCTAAAACAATGGAATATTTTGAAAAAAGAAATATATTATAACCAGGAGATATCGGCAATGATAATGTTCTTGTCATTTGATCAAAGTTCAGAATATATTTTCTGTAAAAATAGCGCTAAAACTAAAACCAAAGCTGAACGTGCGCTAAAACGGCGAGCGTTGTACTGACCATTTTTATATTTATACTCGTTATTACTGCTAGCATAAACCGATAGACCTAAACTTTGAAAATGTTGTAACTAAATGTATAACTAATTAAATGATAGTATTCATATCTGTCAGTTTTAAAATTTATAACAGAGATTTTTATCTCAAAGTTATAATATGCTCGAGCAATGTAAACAAATCGAAAATATAAAAAATAATCCAGTTTTTTAGGCTTGTCGGAAGCGCTAAAGACTCATGAGTATTTCTATACAAAAATCAACACGCTACAATAATTATTAACGAAATGACGGCAGGTTTAAAATTATTTATTTTGTTAAATCGGCGCGTCGCTGCCTCGCTTGCCTACTGGGCTGCGGCCACGCGCTAAGGTCGTTGTGCAATCCGGACGCTCAGTTGAATACGTCAATCAATCCTAATTTATGTCATATACTAACATACCAAATTTCGTTTTATTAACTGAAAAAATAAAAAGGTTATAGGGGTGAGTCACTTTTGAGACGCACCCGGTATAGATTTATCATATCGTCACTTCAATTTTCGATCCCCTTTAGATCATTTTGCTAATTGTAAAGTTCTCGAGCATTTTAGAAATCAGTCTTTTGGAGGCTGATTATACTCGACTAGCATAGTTTACGAATTCAGTAGTTGCCTCTACAGAATAGTGCTCCACGTCAATTCTATATAAAATATCGTTTGTAGTTTATTTTAAAATTATAGATTACATTAAATGACACTCTTAGATAAAACATTGTAAAAATTAACGTTGAAATAGACGATTAAAAAATGACAAATAATACAGGACAAGGTCATGATCTAAAATTATCGAAATAAAATATCTGCGACATTTAAAAATAGAAATAAAAGTTGTTTATTTACGTAATATTTAAGAATTAAATAATGTATAATTAATAACTGTCAGATAATTGGCGATTTTGACCTTTACAGAATTTCGTAGAGTAAGGTATGCTATACATTTTTTCTCTGTTTGTATATATAGGTTACTTACAATATTAATCTATTTAAAACTTTTAAGTTAAATTAATTTTTGCATTTTTAGATAAATATAAATAGTGTTAATTAATTAATTACATAATTATGAAATACAAAAAATACCGACTGTTTTTTTTAAATGTGGTTCACCCCTTCAATATTTTCAGATAAAAAAAAATTTGGTATGTTAGTATAACATAAATGAGGTTGATTAATATATTCAATTACTTTCGGTCGCACTTCCTGTTTCGTCGGAAATGACTACAACTTCAAGGAGCTTTGGGGAAACAGCATTGATCGTCTAATATTTTTCGTTTCTTTCCCTGGCCGGTTTAAAGATGCGCAAATCGTATTTTTAATTATAACTAATTTTTTTCAAATAGAACGAGGGTGGCTCGTTAGTATATTTAGGAAAATTATTTTGTACGACTAATTTGGTACCAGATACGTGGTATTTCGAGTCAAATTGTCTTTACATTTATAATTTATGACCATGAAAGTCTATATTGACATCTAAACTGCTATTTTTTAAATTGAAAATGTTAAAAGTGGACTATATACTAACATACCAAATCTCGATGTTTTATCTCAAAAAAAAAAATAAAAAAGTAATAGTTGCGAATTGGTAATGCGCCACTTTTTAGATGCACCCGGTAGAGAAAAGTGCAGGGGGAAAATATGATAAGCGCCATTTTAGTAATTTTACAGAAGATCACTGGAGGACTGGTGGTTATCGGGTTCTTTACGGTTTTTTTTACGAAACACTTTTTTACGAACCACTTTTTAACAACCCCGTGTATGTAATTAAAATTTAATTACATGGCAGCTCATTCGCCTCGGTTGATTATACGAAAATGGAAAGATGTAGAAACAAAATATTTTATGGGTATATGTGGGGTATATGCGGGAAGGCAATGAACATAATTTAAAATTATTTTGAAATGTACAGGGTATGTCTGAACTAAGATCCACACCAAAGTTATATTTTTTCTTATGGAACATTGGGTATTTTATTTCTTATTTGGGCCCGTGAACATAAAATAAGGCTTTATTATTAGGGTAAAATATGTTTACAAGCTTTGATTTTTGAGATATTTAAAGATGTTTAAATATGCATGGTATCATAAAAAAGATTGTCAACACCTTGTATATTGCTTTTCAGAATTAATTCTTGTGCTGACTTTTAAGCCGAAGAAATAAACTTTACAGAAAAATTTGAATGCCTCGTTTATTGTATAGAGGGGTATCAAAAATTGCCGGTCTATTTTAAATATTTATTTTACATAAAAACTTCGTTGTTTCAAATACAACATCCTGTATTTTTTAAAATAAATCGAAGCAGATCCAAATACTCTTTCAATCTATATTAGGGTTTCCTATACCTATCTAGCTTAGAATTTGAATAAAGGGCCATTTTTCAATAAAATGGCAACCAAGAGGGCTTGTGTCATCATGGCAAGTTTCTAGTGACAGTTAGTAGCTATTTTCAAAATCGAAATTAGTTTATGGACTTTATTTAAATTTATACCAGTTTACTTTTATTTAATTTACCTATAATAGTATAATAAATACAATATTTATTAAATATGTATTTATTATTCTATCAAGAAAAACGAAGAAGTAGTTCTGTGATTTATTTTACGCTGACTTGTAGATAAATGGATTTTCAATAAAAGAGCCAACCAAGTACGGCAAATTCATTTTCTTCACTTCCAACGACATATTTCTGCCTAATAGTTTTTTTATAAACCGCACTACCAGTTCTGCGAAATAGTACAAGTATAGTATCTCAAAGGAACGCTTATCAGGAAGATTCCTATTTGGATATCTTTGAGCATAAACCCTTGAGGCCAAGAAGCAAATTTCGTCACAAAATAAAATCACTAGTAACATATCCATTCGTTCCGCTAGCAGGTACTGCTTTATTTTTCTTTATAAAATAATGAATACTTACTTATGAAACTATTGTAGGTAAATTTAAGTAAACTTTTAAAAACCTAAATAATAATGTTTATTTAGATTTTTAATGTCGATTTTGAAAATAGTTATTAAATGTCACTAGAAAATGACACCAGCCATCTTGATTGCGATTTTAATGAAAAATCGCTTTTTATTCAAAATCTACGCTAGATAGGTATAAGAAACCCTAATATAGTTTGAAAGAGCATTTGAATCTGCTTCGATTTATTTTAAAAATACAGGGTGTTGCATTTGAAATAACGAAGTTTTTATATAAAATAAATCCTTAAAATAGAACAGCAATTTTTGGTACCCCTGTATAAATTTAATGAAGCAATATTATTTTCCAGTAAAGTTTATTTCCCCACCTTTAAACTGAGCACAAGAATTAATTCTGAAGGTAATGTACAGGGTATTAATAATCTATTCTATTGTAGCATGCATATTTAAATATCTTTAAATATCTCAAAAACCAAAGATTTTAAACATATTTAACACTTATAATATTTGCCTTTCTTTGGGCCCAAGAATCCAAAAATGAAATAAAATACCGGGTTTTCCATAAGAAAAAAATATAACTTTGGTATGGATCTTAGTTCTGAAACACACTGTATAATTTCAAAATAATATTAAATTGTGCACATTGCCTCCCCACATATACCCATAAAATATTTTGTATCTACATCTTTCCGTTTTCGTATAATCAACCGAGGCGAATGAGATGCGCCAGCCTGTATATAGCGCACTCTGTATCTGTATAGTATGGGTCTCAAACGGGGCAAGGTTGTTTGAGTACGTTCATATTTTTTTCATTCATTAAATAATTTAATTTTTCTTTAGCGTTCAAATTTTTAACAACCTATCTATGAAAGAAAATGTAAGCTCAAATAAGCAAATAATATGGCATAGAGTTTTTCGAAACATGGAGTTTTTCACCCGTTTAATATTTTGTGCTTTAAGTAGTTTAAAATGGATTGATTAAATTAATTGGATAATCATATAATATTTCAAATTTAATTCAACCTAGTTAATTAAATAGAAATACAACACGTTGCTTGCCACGTGACGACTAATTAAAAGTATTAATTAAGTTACTCAAAATTTAATATGTGTTTTCTTTCTAAATTAGATTTTCTTACTTATAATTTGGCTTAATAACTATTATTTTAATTTATAAAACCTATCATATATATTACTTTTCAGGGTTTTGGAATATATGGACCAGTCAGTCGATCCCTGTGATGATTTTTACCAGTTCACTTGTGGTAATTTTTTGAAGAAAACCAGCATTCCTGACGATAAATCGTCAGTCACCTCATTCAGGTAACGTATGAAAGAAAACATATATTTTTGCGAAAAAGCATCTAGGGTATCTGAATTCTAGTTATTTTGTCGAGACAAAAGATAGCCATGGTTGCCTCTTAAAATATTCGTTTTTTGAAATGCTAACCACTGAATATGGGTTAGTTTGTTAGTTACCACACCAAAATTCACTGTTCAACGATCTTAGTAGGGAAGTGGTGTAAAAATGTATCATCAAGTGTAAAATTGAGACATTTTTCAAAACTTTTAGTTTTTTTCCTAGTTACAACCATTTAAATACAAAAGAATTTCTTCTGAAAATGCATTTAGTGGTAACAATAATACTGGGAAAGTAAAAATATACCAAAAGTACTCCTAAAAAGTCACTATGCAGAAAAGTTTGTTTCATATTTGACTCATAAAAAGTATAAATATGAGACATGCTGGGTTAAATATCGTTTATATTAATTTCTGAAAGATGAGAGTAAGAGGATAGAAATTAGACATAGAAATTTATTCTTTTTATTAGTAAAGTCACAGGCAAACCAACCAAATTAGTTTGTGGTAAAACTCAAATAAAAAAATAAAAACTAATAAAATATAAACTAATAAAAGACGCCTACATATAATTCAAATCACAATACAGTAATGTTATACTGCCGCAAAACATGTATAAAAAAATAAAAGTGTAAAACAATTATATTAAATTAAAAAAAAATATGTAGATAATGAGTGATATCAAACTATTAATAGTGTCGTAGAACAACAAAAATACTGATATACAAATTTACGAACTAAATATTTCTCAAAATCTATTGAAAGAGCAAACATCACAGCAGTCCTAAAAAGGACTTCTTGATTGCTTAGACTTTTGTCCCGCCTTCCAAATTTGATGCGGTGGCTTTAAGACAATGTCCTTCAGAATTTTATTTATCTCATTAACCACAATTTTCTACTTATCAATATTAAAAGCTTTGACTGCGTTAAATCTCTGCTGCCGACTAACTTTGCAGCCTTTTTAAGATCTTTTTCTGTATACTTTTTTGTTTTCTTTACATGTTTTTATTAGTTTTGAGTTGTAACTGAAATTTAAAAATTTACAAACTATTAAGTTGTCTCATATTTACCCATGCCTTTTCTCATTTTTACCCCTATGTGTGCCTTAAATTTACCCCTCCAAAAAGTAGATTTTGATACCAACAGGATTTCATTTAAAAGGACATGCCTTACTATACCACATACCGTAATCTATATACGCACGCGAAGACAGGAGTCCGTGCCAAACATCCGACAAAAGTTTAGCAATCAGTTTCAAAAGTTTTAAACCTCAAAATGACACAGATTTGCAATTTCAGGTTTCCCATTATTCATCACATAAAAGTTAAAGAAATTATGGGGATAATCTGTTAAAAATTATTATTGTTAAATGTTCCTAACAAGAAAACTGAATATAAGTTTTCAATAGTTTTATTTGAATGTCTAATTTTTTACCTAAATATGGTATGTCTCATTTTTGCTCCACTTGACCCTTAGTGGAGTGCCCAGAGACTTTTACCTCGGAATTCAATTACTGTGGATGTATTAATGTGAAACCTTCTGTATTGTGTTTTATAGATAAAATACTAAAATGTTTACCCATTTTTTTTCGTTGCTTTTAATTTTTTATTTTAGTAATTTTAGTAAATTCTTAATTATTTCCTTCTCAATATTTTGATTTTTTTAATTCTTTTTCTAAGTAAATCTATTGAAATAAATTAATCTAATGCATAAGCTATATCTATTTTGGTTATATTCTAATCATTGAAATTTTGATTGAAACCGAATTATACAGGGTGGCGCGTCATATACGACGCGGTTTTGGCAAGGAGAACAAAAGTTTGTATTGAAGTGAACTTTTCTGATCTTATGTAAGTCAATTTAAAGTATTTTCTAAATTTATGTAGAGTTCTACAGGGTGTCCCCAAAAAAAGTTACACATCAAAGTTATATTTTTTGTAATGGAACACACACTAAAATGTATAGTTTTTGAAATACATTCACCGGCACGAAAAATGGGCACCTTAAAACTTTGATGTATTTTAATTTAAAATAATTTTTAAAGGTTAATAAATTTTATTTTAATGGGCCGATTTTGATGATTTTTTAAGCAGTGTGTTGCCAAATTATTTGACTTTTTAGTATCTTTTTCTAAATTAAAAATGAAACTCCTCATCTATTAATTATACGAGGAAAAACAAAATGTTGATATTTTTTATGAAAGTTTGAAACACCCTGTGAAATATGTTAAAACAGCAAGAAACTTAAAAATTATTTTATCATCTAGATACATCCTTTCTCGATGGTTTGTTTTTTGGTTCATCTCATTAGCTTTATTTTTGTTGGAAATATTCGGTTTTAAAGAAGGCACTAACATTTTTCGTAATTTTTACATTAAGACCATGCCTTTGCTTTTGGGCTTAGTCAACACATCTAGTAAGTTCTGGTCCCGAAGCATTCCTTTTTGACATAAGTTTGCTTCATTTAATCTTTTTCTTGTAGTCCGTTAGTTAATTAGACTTAATTAGTTAGGTTCTTAAGTGCAATTCATGATCAATTTGAAAAGTTTACAAACGGCGGTTTCTTAGCGATAAACTTACAATAAGTCGATCGTCTCGATTAGAAGTTCTCATCCGAAGATTCCTGGACGTCTATATTGACGTCCTCATGGACGTGGTCATAACTCAAAGACTATTTATTATACTTTATGGTATTAAGGTATTTTTTGAACCAGAATTTTAAGCAAATTCACTAAACTCGACTCACCCTGTGTATCTATAAAAATATTTTTGAAATGTGAACTACCATTAAGCATATATTTTGTAAAAGGTTTGGAGTGAAAATCTCAAATAGGAATTCTGATACAGAGCTTTTCCGGAAAACGATGCCATCTTGTATGTATGTATTTGTATGTCTGTTAAATACTAAAGTGAAAGCAACGAATTTAAATAGGTAAACTTTGTAATATATCTTATTTACAATACAATGCAAAAAGTTTTATAAACATTCGTTCACAGTAAATGAATTCCGAGGTTTGTATCTCATAAGGGCTTAAGGCACTCCACTACCTAGATATATAATTTTTCGTATCCAGTTGATACTAAAACAAAATTTCTTTAGCAAAATTTTTTAATCTGCAGGTTTTTGAATACTTCATGTATAATGTTCTTTTTGCAATTAAGTGGTACATTATAGATGCTTTCTTTTCTGATCAAATCATTTTAGTTTCATTTTGTTAAGATCAAAATTAAGATAACATTGGCTTTAAAAACAGCCCCCCCCCCTTTAATTTTATACTATCTCTCGACACGGTGCATTTTCTCCGAAATTCTCTTTTTGTAAGGAATTTTTTGCTATAAATTAAATATATCCCATGGTTATTCTTCAAAATATATTTTTCTTGGTATTTTACAATAATTATATAGAGAATAAAGTCTCTTAATATGACTTGTTTGTGTATTTGCAAATGCCTAGTCACAACGCAGTTGTTCCTTGTTTATAAAATCTTTTGTTATATCCGTCTTCATTGAATCAGAATAATTTGGCTTCGGTGTTGAATATGCTCATAAAAACTAAAGAATACATTATGAAGTGTGAGATGTTAAAACAACTGTACCACAATCACTTATATATAGCTTTTTTTAATTTGTTTTTGACTCATTTCAGTATTATAAGCGACACTCTACAAGAACAGCTGAGGTCAATGATTGAAGAGCCCATACAACCAAATGAGCCTAAACCATTCAAATTGACAAAGAAACTATACAGGGCGTGTATGAACAAAACCTTAATTGAACAAGAAGGTAAGAAAAATATTCAACCTTACTTGTCTACGCCAAAAATGATAATAGGTCAAGTTTTATAATAATTATTTTTATAGTAGTTTTAATAGTTTCGGGTAAATCATTTTAATTCAAAGTAGAGAATATTGTTTTGCAAAGATTCAAGATTCATATTTGGCACCTTGATCTAATGCCAGAAAAAAAACACAAATGAAAATGTGAAATGAGTGCTATATAGTTTTGTATATAATCAACTTAAGTATTTTTTAAAAATTGCGAATTTGGCACCATTAAAAAAAAGTTTCTACAGCCATATCGTTATTTTAATAAAATGTATTTGTTTTTGTCCAAGCCGCAAAGAATACATACTTTTATAAATAATTTTTTAATTAAAATTAAGATGAAATCAAATAGATGAAAATCTAGTCATTGTAATAAATACTTTCAGTAAGTTCAGTCTAGCGAGAGAAAGGACGATTTTGACAGACGACATCCAAAAATAGCAAAAAAAAACAATTCACCTTTGAGTTAAGATGACACATACTGTCAGAATTATATCGATTCATTTTGGTTAAACTATGTAAAAATGGCCAAAATATGATAAAATATATTTCGGACCACTACAAATTAAGTTAAATACACGGTAATACTTAATATTATGAGATATTTTAAATACGCTATTAATAAAACTACAATATCAAAACTAGAATTTCTATTTTGTTCAGATAGATACTCGTACTATTTACATTTCATTTTCTCAGGGTGAAACAGATGAATTATGGTTTCAGTCTATTGGGAAAGATTAACACTTAACCAAAGTATTTGTCCTTTTCAATTCAAAGAAATATTTTGTTATAATCAATCAGACTGATACGATTCACTTTATCGCATCAATAATCTCCAATCAATTAGAAATATTTAAAACAGAAGATATGCTATGAAATGTACTTAAATATCTATATTTAAAATGAATAGTGCGGTGTATACAGGGTGGCGCACCTCATTCGCCTCGGTTGATTATACGAAAATGGAAAGATGTAGACACAAAATATTTTATGGGTATATGCGGGGAGGGAATGTGCACAATTTAAAATTATTTTGAAATGTACAGGGTATTTCAGAACTAAGATCCGTACCAAAGTTATATTTTTTCTTATGGAACACCCGGTATTTTATTTCATTTTTGGATTCTTGGACCCAAAAAAAAGTATTTATTATAAGGGTTAAATATGTTTAAAATCTTTGGTTTTTGAGATATTTAAGAATATTTAAAAATGCATGCTACATTAGAATAGACTATTAACACCCTGTACATTGCTTTTCAGAACTAATTCCTGTGCTGACTTTTAAGCCAGAGAAATAAACTTTACTAAAAAATTTAATTGCTTTGTTTAATGTATACAGGGGTATCAAAAATTGCTGGTCTATTTTAAATTTTAATTTTACATAAAAACTTCGTTATTTCAAATAGAACACCCTGTATTTTTTTAAATAAATCGAAGCAGATTTAACTGGGAACAGTGAACTAGAACTTATCGTATAACTTTGGAAAAAAAATTTAATAAGTAAATCGACCAAGAGAAATCGCTGAAAATTATTTTCAAGTTCGAAAAATGTCCGCCTGGGCGCGCTTCTCTGATAGCCAATTAGAAAGCAGGGTTTTTCTCAAAAGTATGCAGGTGAACAGGTATTTTAAATATTACTGTTGTAATCACCGAGAAATTTGTATTTTTTTATATAAAGTATTTTGCTCTATCTCATAAAATAAAGTGGTGGGGGAAGGTAAAACTTGCTAATATTAAAATAAGGATTACTCTGGTTTGGGTTAGCCGATTTAAACAAACTAGGGCTCGTTTAAAATAGCTTAATAATCTCTAGTATAAATTTTGTTTCCATAGATTTTTTTGTGGTAGATAGAAGGCGCTGTTTGACATTATAACCGATATTGCGCGTTTGCATAAAAAATTATATAGCAGATTATGTTTTTTTTCACAGTTAAATAAAACACATAATTTCCAAAATATCAGCGCAAACCGCAATTTTAGAAAATAAATCATATTCGGCTGTCGTCTAGGGTTTTAAAGTCTAAAAATTATCGTAGTACGCTAGGAAACAAAAAGAGGTAAATTGGTTTCGTCAAAATATCAAAACATACATTTTAATTTTATTTTAATGCTATTTAATTGTTATTTATCCATGTTCGTTCTTGATTCGACTCCATAAATAAAAACCTAGGCATTTGAATCCGATGAACTAACTGGCCATGGAAATATGCCGCTCAAGCTTGTCTGTCTACTAAAGTAAGTGGTATCCAAGAAGCCCCACAGATTCATAGCAAAATAAGCGGCACAACTGCACTATGGATATTAATGTAACCGTTACCTGTTGCATCTGTTGCAATTTCATCATGATGGATCCCCTATCAAAACTGGCAATTCATATCTTCAGAAATTATGAATAGTTCATTTCATTCGGATGATTAAAAAATCCAGTCATTTGCCATCCTAGAATTCCTGCCCAAGCATTTACTAACCAACGGTCTTATTGGTGCTGAACTACTTGCATCAAGGACAGATTTGGACTAGTAGTGCATATAGTTAAGATTCGCACCTTCGGTGCTATATGAAAAGTGACCCAAGCGACATAAACTTTATAATATAATAATAAATAACACAAACAACAGGCAAAACACGAAAACAAGTGAAATCAAGGACGAATTGGATTAATTCCAAGTAGCATTTTCACGACTTGCGACCACATGTTTACTAAACACAACGTTGGATTAGTTACAAAAAATAGTTAGCTCCCTACCTTGGGTATTAAAATAAATTTAAACGTTTTTATAACGTTGTGCCGACGTTGGACTAGTACTACAGCAAAGTAGGAAGCTTCTGCGACGTCGAATAAACGTTGTCTTCTAACCTTTGCTTAAGTGATCTTTAGGTGATTCGGACAACGTAGTTACAACGTTGGATAATATAGAGTTTTCCGACGTCAGTTTCAGGACCTATTCCAACGTTATGCAAACGTCGTCTGTTTTACTTATTCCAACGTTGTTTAGATTTCCTTATTCTTACGTTGGTAGGACGTCGAGGCACTACCTTTTTGCAACTGTATTGAACCATAACCTTAAATCTTAAATTTTCACTTCATTGTTCTGTTCAGTCAGACAGTTCAGTGCTGTTTTTGTTTTTATAAAAAAAACTTATTTAAAATGGGACATAAGAAAGGTACATATAAAACTAAATTTAAATATACATCGGCATATATTACCGATAGTTTATCCACTCCCTCGTTTATTTAGATTATAGAGGGCGGCACAAGCTAGACTCTAGGATGACTAAATTAGGCAATCTTGCGACTAGTATACTACCTGTTAAGGCTGAACTGCGACTTTATTAGTCCAGTATGCGACTACTCGAACTACTCCATCTTAATCTCCCAAAACAACAAAGTGAAAGCCGCCATGTTGTTAAATAAGAAAATGTTTCGTTCCTAAAATAGCAATTCTTGCTTTTTGAATACATTAACTTGAAATATTTGACCCTAAAAATCACGCGGAAACAATTTTTTCGACTGCGAATAAATTATTCTCATTTTACTAAAAAAAAAAAATTCAAGAAAATTTTTAAAACTTCTTTAATTTTAAGGCCCATTAGTATTTTTCAAAGTAGAAACAATACATTTATCAATAAGTTGTTTGCGTTTAACTTTTTGTCTTGGGTAACAAGTTACAGAGTCGGTTAAGTGAGCAATAGTATGATCTAAGAGCATCACTCCACACTTAAATACTTTGTTTTGTTTTCCTTCTGCCATCTGACATATGTCTCTAGCAAAAATAATATTTTTACTATAATTATCCCAATTTAGGATAAAACGCGACTTAGACGCCATATTAGTTTTGTATTTCTGTGAATTAGGATTTTAAACAACGTTGCAGTTTGTACTAAATTAGGCTTCTAGCCAACGTCGGTATCCAACGTCGTTTCGACCCAAAAATTATTCTCCAAACTATTACAGACTAGGGTTGGCACGAGGTTGTGCCGACGTTGCGCCCCGACGTTTGGTCGCGTGACACAACGTTGTCCCGACGTCCAAATGCTGCTTGGGATAACTAAATGATGTTATATGAAATAAACCCGTAATTTTCGGCCATACGAAATTCGGCCATTTTCTGTTAAAAGCAATATGGCGGCACAAAATTCCTAGAAATTTTAATAAAATTATTGATTGTCCGACTTTCGGACATTTTAGTTGGTTGGTTTAGTTTGGTTAGATTGTGATCATAACAGATACGCCCCATAGCGGACATTTTTCGAACTTGAAAATAATTTCCAGCGATTTCTCTTGGTCGATTGACTTATTAGAATAGTTTTCCCAAAGTTATAGATATGTAGTTTCTTAGATATAGCCGGCGGCATCCAGTGGCGGATACAGATGGGCCCCCCCTAAAATCCATACATTAGGTTAAATATTAGGCTTTTGGGTTAAAAATAGCGCCCTAAAAAGCATATTCTACATTATTTTTTATTTGGCCCCCCCCCTAAAATAAATTCCTGTATCCGCCCCTGGCGGCATCCATTCTTAGTTGGCCACCCGGTACATAAATATGAAATATTTTAATTCCCTATTGTTACCTCAAAAAAAATGGTTTGGAGTTTTTTTTTCTTAACAGTGTTATTTGTAACTTGTAACAGTAGTGAGTTTTTTTATATACTTTTTTATTTATTATTATTACCACAGATTATTACTAAAACATTTTTATGCCCATTATAACTTTGAAAATTGCAAACAAAAGCAATAGTATTGTTTCAATAAAGTAACTTCTCTTTACCATGATTCTCCGATTAATTTCATCCATCAGGAGTATTTAAAAACTAAAATGCACTGACATAAATATAATAATTTTCTTCGCAGGATTAACTACAATTCATTCGATTTTGAGTGATCTTGGTGGATGGCCAGTATTGGAAGGACTACAATGGAATGAAGGAGACTTCGACTGGAGAGAATCCGTTTACAAGTTTAGAAAACTCGGTTACAGCGTAGATTACTTCATCGACTTTTCAGTGGGCATCGATGTTAAAAATTCAACCAAAAGAGTAATAGATGTGAGTAATGTAAAGAAAATCAATAATAGTTATTTACAGTACAAGTGTGTTTATGAACATGATTACAACAACGAGTATGAACGATTAGAGGTCGTAGACCGAGTCGTTCTAATCACACGAGTGTTGTAATCATGTTTAAACGCACGTGTCATGTACAACGTTTTGTCTACAACCAGAAAATAAGAAAATTCTGTTTTAATTTTCGTTTATTAGTCGCCCACCTTTAACACCTTTAACTATGACATTTGTCACATTTATGCTGAAAAGTCAGTTTGCCCTGTCAAGTAAACGGGAGCACTTTGTGCTCAGAAAAATCATTTTAAAAATTACGATGAGCGATTCCGACAGTCTCCTTTCAGATGTAGAACTTGCCGCAGTACGCGCCACGGAATCATTATTGCCGGAAAAGTTAATATATTTAGATGTTCGTAGTTGTTTTTCATTATTATAGCAACTAGTTGTGTTATAGATTCATAACACCACTAGTTGTGTTATGAATCTCATAACGTAACTGAAATACTAAAACAATAGTGATGTAAAAACGTTATAACTAAACGGTTGTAGATAAAATATTTTTTCTACAAACGTCAGTAAAAATATAATTTTTAACGCATGCTGTCAGTGTCCAAAATGTGACATTATGTCACTGATGATAAAAGTCATTTACTTTTAGCACTGGTGCCAAAAGTAAGTCACGTGATTTACTTTTAACACTGAAGCAACTGAAATTACCCTAGCAACCATAAACTTCATAATTAATTTGATTTCAGAATGACATGAATTATTCATTAACGTAAAAAGTAATAATACCTTGATATATACGAGCATAAACTTTTTTGTAGAAAAAATAGTGCATGATATATCATCACACTTATATCATAAATAACTATTATGTAAAACTTCTCTGAAATTCTTTTAGCTCGATCAAGCATCACTGGGTCTCAGAAGGGAATTTTTGACCAAAGGATTGGAAGATAAGTTAGTAAAAGCTTACTACGATTATATGGTTGATATTGCAGTACTATTTGGTGCTGAGAAAGACAGAGCAATTAATGAGTTAAAGGAATCTCTTGATTTTGAAATCAAATTAGCAAATGTAAGTACCATAAATATATCCTACTAGATAACGAAAATTATGTTTTACTATGTTATTTTTTAACATGTAACCTGCAAGGATCTTCAAGCTTGTATTATTCTTTCGGCAGCTGGTTTGGTATTAATTTCAAAATTGTTTAATATGTACTAAAATTAAACATATTATGAAGGGTTTATTTATATGTCAATTGGATATTGTGAAATTCATATGCAAAAAATTGCAGGCTTCCGAAAAAGATCTATAATAATTTTTTTTTGTAATTTCCATTTAATTTTTTTAAGGAATCTGTGGTAAACGGTAACGCACATTTGAAAATATTTTCCTCAATATACAGGGTGATTCAAACTTATTTTCAAATTAAAGTTCGATATATTTTTACATAGAATACTATATTTATATTTTTAGTTCATTGGATTTCCCATTAAATTTCCATTCCAAAGATATCATAATGTCAGATACTATACCGAGTGGCTTCTGAAATATAACCTTTTTAAACTAAATTTACGGCCTAATTAAAGCCCTCTCAAAAATCTAAATCCGAAAAATTACTGTATAATAGTGTCTTTTCTAAAATTCAACCTACCAATATTTGCAATCTTATATAATATATACAGGGTAGGCTATGTGTTAGGTGTTCTGTATATAATATATACAGGGTAGGCTAAATGTTGTATATTTCTCCAGTATTTTAAATGCACCGCCATGTGTTTTGTATCAAAAAAAATGATAAGTATTGTATAAAAGTAGAGAGTTAGCTGCAAGTATTGACATTGAAGCAGTTTTCTGCGTAAATTTTTAAAAAGTTAATTGCACACATCATTTTTTTAGAAAAATATTCAGTGTTAACCCGTATAATGTCGACACTTTTTTGCATTAACTATGTCGCATTTCTAGCAACTTTTACTCTCAAAATTTCATTCAAATCGCTAAAATCATTTGAAAGAAAATTATAATAAATCGAAAAAAAATAATATGTTAACCCCCTATAACCTATAACTACGAAACAAAGCAGAATCGAAGCTATGTTGATATAAGAAGTAAAACTTATTTTTATAATATATAGATGCAATCTCGCCACGAGAGATGGCACATGTTTTATGAGACACCCTGTATCAGGGTGCAAAAAATCAAGATTCTTATAAAAACGTTTTTTTATTCAGAGTTTTTTTATTTTAATCGGATTTTTTTAATTTTAACCAATTTTCTATTTAAATTATTATTTATTTTTCCAATTAATTAACGACTTACTTCCAGTTAAGGTCCTATCCTAAATGGTTAAGTCAAAGTTTACAAAATAAAATATTATGTTAAATCTTCGTAACTATACTCGATATCGATAATATTGTTACGGATTCCGTGGGTCCACTAATTTAAACTCGCGATAAAATACTTAACGAATTTATTTTCTCACTTTATACACAATTACTAACTTATAACACACAACAAACTAACTATTTATAAGATTCCTTCACCAAATTGTCCGATTTTCAATTTTCACGCGGTATATTCAAATTTCAAAAACTGTCTCCGTTGTCGATGGCTCCGGCTTATATACTCTATTGACTGCTTCTCGAAATTTCCCAATTCTCGGAAAGCGTACTTCTTCATACCAGACAATTCTATTGTCTGATTCCTTACTTCTCGACTTGACTAAAAGATGGCGCCTGAAAAAGTCTTTTAATTTCTGGCGGATACGTTGCGGTTGTGCAGGCAACCAGTAATACATTTTTAATTTCTGGCGGATGCGCCATTTTTCTTGACATTGCCCCCTTCTCAAATTTGATCGTCCCGATCAAGGTTTCCTGTCTGGTATCTCTCAATCGATCCAGATGAACTACTTTCATCTTACTTCTAGGGCTGCGTTGAATCCGGTACACAACATCATTTATCCTCTTGATGACTGTATAAGGACCTTCCCATGCTGGAGTTAACTTTGGGGACCTCCCTTTCTTGCGCTGTGGGTTATATAACCATACCATATCGTCCTGTTGAAATCCCGTAGAATTAGCTCTGAGGTCGTAACGAGCTTTCATCCGGTCACTGGCTAGCGTAATCTTACTTCTCACGGCCTTATGAATTCCCAATAACCTTTCCTTCAGTTCATCCGCGTAGTCCTCTACGTTCGTGGTGCTGTCGTCTGGTGATCCGAACACCAAGTCACAAGGCAACCGTAATTCTCGACCAAATAAAATCTTCGATGGTGAAAGTCCGGTGGTGTTGTGAACTGCACTTCTATATGCCATTAGGAATAGTGGTATATGCTGATCCCAATCTCTTTGATGTTCATCCACCATTTTCGAGAGATGTTCTTCAATGGTCTTATTGAATCTCTCGACCATCCCATCAGACTGCGGATGTAAAGCTGTTGTCCTAGTCTTGTGAATACCAAGCAGATCACACATCTTCTGGAACAGTCTTGACTCGAAGTTCCTTCCTTGGTCAGTGTGAAGCTCTAAAGGAATTCCAAATCTACTGAAGACATTATGACTAATACTTCAGCTACAGTCGATGCTTCTTGGTTTGGAATGGCAAAAACTTCTGGCCATTTACTGAAATAATCCATCGCCACTAAAACGTACTTGTTGCCCTTGTGCGTTTCAGGGAATGGGCCTGCAATGTCAACAGCGATTCTTTCGAATGGCAGTCCAACGTTATATTGTTTCATTTTTCCCCTAGATCGAGTGCTTGGTCCTTGGCTGGCTGCACAAATTTTACATTGTCGACACCATTTCTTGACATCTTCGCAATAATCCACCCAGTAAAAGCGATCTCTCAGCTTGCTCAAGGTCTTGTTTACCCCAAGATGGGCTCCAGTTTTACCACCGTGAATTTCTTCCAATACCTGGGTAACTTTCTTCCTTGGTACCAGTAACTGAGTTGTTACTGTGCTGCCATCCGCACTTTCCCATGTGCGCTTTAACAATCCATTCTCAATAACCAGTGAATTCCACTGAGCCCAGAGAGCTTTGAAAACGAGCCCTCTGTCCGCAATATCCTGCCACGGTGGTCTCTCGCCGTTACCTTCCTTGAGCCGTAGTATTGCTCCGATGTCTGGATCTTCCATTTGATCTTTCCTCAATTGTGTCGTCGTCCACTGTTCATCGGTTCCAAGTTTAAAACTCCTTATCATGACAGTGCCTTCACGTTGTTCCGTTTTACAGCAGTGCTTACAATCGGTTTGACAGGGTCTTCTGGATAAACCGTCTGCGTTACCATGCATTTTTCCAGCACGATGTTGGATGGTAAAGTGATACTGTTGGAGCTTCTCGAGCCATCGTGCTATTTGACCTTCAGGTTGTTTCATCTCCATAAGCCACTTGAGAGCCGCATGATCTGTCCTAATTAAAAATTCTTGGCCGTACAGATATTTATGAAAATGATCAACTGCCTTCACAATTGCTAGCAGCTCCTTCCGGGTAACGCAGTAATTCCTTTCTGGTTTGGATAGAACTCGACTGTAATATTCTATCACTCGTTCTTCGCCATCTTGCACTTGTGATAGCACTGCACCTATGCCGATATTGCTGGCGTCGGTATCCAGGATATACCTCCCTTGTTGTTGCGGGTAGGCTAGAATAGGACTTGAACATAAAGCCGCCTTAAGTCTTCCAAAGGCTACATCACAATCGGTGTTCCATTCGTAGCCGACTTCATCACCTGTAAGTCTATGTAAGGGTGCAGCTATATTGGCAAATCCCTTGACAAATCTTCTGTAATAGGTGCATAAACCCAGAAAACTTCTAAGTTCATGTTTGTCGCGAGGTTTAGGCCAATCCTTGATCGCAGCGATTTTCTTCTGGTCGGTGTAAATTCCGTCTGCCGAGACTACATGACCCAAGAATTCCACTTGTCGCTGGAATAAGCTACACTTCTTCGGGTTCAAGTACAGGTGAGCATTCCGTATGCGGCCAAAGACTTCTTCTAAATTCGCAAATGCTCCTCAAAAGTTCTTCCCATAACCAATACATCGTCGAGGTAAACCAAGCACGTTTTCCAAGTTAATCCTCTTAACACCACCTCCATGAGACGTTCGAAAGTGGCTGGAGCATTGCATAATCCAAACGGCATGACCTTGAATTGGTATAGTCCGTTTCCTGTAGAAAAAGCCGTCTTTTCTTTGTCTTCCTCGTCCAGACCAACTTGCCAGTATCCACTCTTTAAGTCGAGAGTGGAGAACCAGCACGAACCTGCCAGTGTGGTTAACGTGTCGTCTATACGTGGCAGTGGGTAGCTGTCCTTCTTAGTGACGTCATTGAGCTTCCGATAGTCCACGCAGAATCGTGTACTACCATCTTTCTTCGTCACCAAAACAACAGGAGATGACCATGGACTCGATGATTCTTCGATAACTCCATCTTCTAGCATCTTATCTACCATTGTCTCCATTTCTTGTTGTTTGGAAAGGGGCACCCTTCTAGGACGTTGTCGAATCGGCTGAGCATGACCAGTATTAATCCGGTGCTTCACAAAATCCGTTCTTCCACTGTTGTTCTTCTCAAAAATACTGCCATGCTTTAGCAGGAACTGCTTGGCCTTCTGTTTCTCCTCAGGTGTTAGGTGATCCCATGGCTGTTCTAGATGTTTTAGTGTTTCTTGGGATGCCTTTTGTGTAACAGCTGACGACACTTCATCACATCGGGTGACACTTCTTACAGGTTCGCAGATGGCTATCTTGTCACCTTTTCGGATCTTGACACAATTCGGGAAAACATTCGCAATTCTGATCGGTATATTCTTGTCGGTGTTCACCAATGATTTTCCTACTAAGTACCTATCTTGTTTCTTGTCGCTACTTTGTACCAGTCCAACACAGCACCCAGCGATTTTCTCCACTTTACCGAATACGATCTTCTCGGTATTACCAGGTATCACCACAGTTTCCGCTGATCTTACATCCATTCTTCCTGGTCCCTCGTCTGGAGATAACATAAACTCTTCATTTCCGATATTCAGGATATTTCTCTGGTGATCGAACGAAAATCCATGTTGACGAATCACAT